AAAAAAAAAAAAAAGATTTAGACTGTAGTCCAGTTACCCAGGAATGAAAGGTTATAAAATTATGAATTAAACAATCCTGTCCAGTTTCTGTAAGGTGAACTATTATATAATTGATCAATTACTACCTGGTAATGTACCTTGTACAACACATTTGACCTACCTTTTTCCTTTTGGCCAGCAGAGGGTGTGGATGAGCTGCTGTCATCCTCAGCTGCCCCTCGTGTGTACTCCACTGATGGTTTCTGCAGGTCGTCAGATGGCCTCATTGTCAGATTATGTCTCCTGCCTTTAGCACTACCAGCCGCCTTGATAGCATCGGCATTGGCCTTTAGGAGTTAGGAATTATGGGACACATGAGGAGCAATATTATACCATGTTGCAATATTAGTACTACATGCTTTAAAGTAAAAACATCTAAAATTAAAAATTTCAAGCACACGTAACTGATTAGGTAGGAAAAATTCATTGTGATAATTAGCAAAATAAATTCTATCAATAGCTTATTCATTGATTTTAAACAAATGAAATTAGGTTCTAAGTTACTTAATAAAAATCATTTTGGTTTCATGTATGTATAATTTGAAAGGAATAAAAAATAATTTTCATGAATGGAGAGACTATTGTTTAGTATTTTATTATAAATTTGAAAGTGTAACATGTGAAGGGAATTTTAATGAGATGTTTCAACATAAAAAATTGTTTGGAGTTTTGTGTATTTTTTTTTTTAAATCAAAATGTTTTAAAAATGTTTCAAAGAATATATAAATTAGTTTGCCTTTACTCTTTCGCTGCAGAATTTTTTTATAGAAAAAATTTACATTTTTTTCAAAGAGCAAAAAGAGAGTGAGAGGTTGCGTTAATTAAAAAAAATATTTAAAATATAATTGTTTGGTTCATAAGACTAAACTTGGTATCAAATGAAAGATAATTGAATGGACTGTATATTTGTACACTTATTTCTTCAGTTTAAATAAAATAAATAACAGAAAAAAAATAATAAAATGTGAAAACATTATATTCAAAAACAATTTTTTCCCAAAACCCTATGTTGTACGCGTACCTCATCTTCACTTCTATAACTCAAATCCTCTAAAATTATTGCTATCGGAATCATGCGATGGATCTAAATATAAATCATCGTCACTATCAAAAGAAATAGTATAAAACAATTCCAAAGCTTTTTGAGCTGTTAATTGCCTAGAAAACTTAATCACCTACTAGGGCTT